GTCATTGTTATAGACTGCAGTTTAATAATTTGTTGACGAGCGTATACTGTACGTGGTACTCAGTAATTCATTTTACGCAGCGTAGCTTATCTAGGGTTTACGGTAATTCCCAGGTGTGGCCCGTAGTTCCTCTCTGCTGCCAGAGACGTACACGCCAAAAGAAACCGATTGATGAGTGAAAACCAACATGGCTGACACTACAAGAGATTTTGAATAAACACATTCTGGACTTTAGCTGCAGAAAGATTTCTTGAGGTCGCTGAATTTAAACTGAAGACCATTGGTGTAAATTCTTCCCCCTGGCCCTGTTCACACCTGAAATACTGTCTGACATGAAGGGTTAGAGCAGCAGGGGCAGGCGGTCCTGGACCTCGGGAGCCACTATACTACACGTTTTACAAGTTTCTCTGCTCCAGCACCGCTGATTTGAATGAATGGGTGATTTTGGGGCTTCTGCAGAACTTGAAGACTTTTCAGCTGAAGTAAGGTGTGCATCGAACTTTAGACCAACATGGCTCATAGGAAATGATGGAATTATGTAATTTGGAAAACATCCTCATGTCTGCTGCTCAGTAACCTCAGTGTTTGACCACTAAGTGCTCCTAAATCACCATTGAGGGTTTACATCTCTGTTCGATGGTCACCCTGACAGAGTTTGGTAACCAAAGGGGATGTTGCCTCTTTACTCACTGCACACAGACATTCACAAGTGGACCGGAGAATTCCAGTCGGAGTCTTGGGTTGGGCTGAAATACCAATAAAACCGACGGCGGACCACTAACCTCCGAGGTCACTCTGAGAGCAGCCGTGTTCTCCACTCAGCCTCCTAAACAGCGACCGCACCACCTTGGCACTGCCAAAACGCTTGAAACGGGCACGGACGTTCTCGTGGTACCACTCCAAGGTACCGATCTGGAGAACCCTTTACGGAAGAAACAACGGGTCATTGACAAACAATAATCTGAAGATTTCCACTTAAAACTGGGAGGAGCTGGATTCAAGTCTACTGGTTCTGGCAACAGAGCAGATGTAAGCTGCCTGACGTGATTTTAAAGCACAACTTTTAATATCAACTGTTGACAGTTGAGAACATTAAGACTCCTAATATTAATACTAATGAAAGGAGCTTGTTGAGTTGTAAGCATGATTCTGGCAGATCCTGATCATCCACTCCGTGGTGAGTTCAGGTTGCTTCCATCTGGACGCAGGTGTCTGCTGCCCAGATGTAGAACAAACAAACTGAACAACTCATTCATCCCTGTAGAGACCAGGCTTCTCATCGAACAGTGACGATCTCTGTAGTTATTTTAATGTCTTGTCTAGTGTGGATGTTTGTGTGAAACTGTGAAACAATTCACCCCCTAAAGATTCTTGAACTTGAACCAAGCGTTGGACCGGTCTTCCTGGGGTCATCCAAGAGTTGAAGCTTTTAAAAGCAAACTCAAAACTCACTAGTTTAGTTGTTTATTCACACATTTTAACAAGGCCTATATTAACTTTATCGTTAGTTTGACCATGTCTTTAATTTGACTTAACTGAGTTATAATTATTTACAAACATTTTAATCACTTTTTAGCAGACATAGACATAGACTAAGCTGCTATTAGCTTTTATAGTATATCAAGATAAACTAAGTTATTAGTAATAATTAATAATAATAAATCATTTTTAAAAATAGCCTATCGGAGCCTATTGCGTGAATGTTTATGAAGCATTCACACTTTTGTTATCCATTTTTCTTAAATACATTTTTCAGCTTCTTTCTCTTTTCTATTTCAACAAATCATAAATCAAAAGGTTCAGCTCTTTCAGGACAATCCTGCCATGACTTTTGGTATTGTTGCATCTTTAGCTTTTTGCAATATTTAGCCTTTTCTGTCTTTTTTCCCTTCAAAAAATGAGTTGAGCTCATTTTACAGCCTTCAAATCTTTAGATCTGTTTACAACCTTTTACTGCTCCTTTCACTTTTTGTTCTGCTTCAGCTTCTTTCAGCTTCCTTGTGCAAATTTAAAAAATTTCCAGTTAATTTTAGCTAATTTTAGTTTTTTCAGCTTTTTTGTGCTCCCTTCAGATTATTTGGCTAACTACAACATTTTTGTGCTTCTTCTAACTTATTTCTCCTAATTTCAGCTTGTTATGCTCCTTTTAGCTTATTTCTGATAGTTTTAGTTATTTCAGTTGCTATTTAGCTGTTTTATGCTAATTTAAGCTTTTTCAGCTAAGTCCACATTTTTTGCACTCATTTCAACGTTTTTCAGCTTAATTAGGCAAAAAATGTGCTCTCCCCACTTCCTTCTTGTATTTTCAGCTTCTTGATGCTTTTAAGTTACTTTTCAGCAATTTTTTGCTAATTTCAGCTTTTTTCAGATAATTTCCACTTTTTTGTGCTCATTTTTGCTTCTCTCAGGCTAACTGTGCAAACGTGTTCTTTCTGTTTTCTTCTGCTAATTTAAGCTTGTTCTACATTTTCAGCTAGCATTTTAGCTAATTTTAGCTGTTTTCAGGTTAAATCAGGCTTTTCATTGTAATCTCTGCTACTTTGAGCCTAATCAACTTCTTTATGCTAATTTCATTTTGTTATGCTCCTTTCAGCTTATTTCTGCTAGTTTCAGTTATTTCAGCTACTATTTAGCTTTTTTATGCTAATTTTAGATTTTTCATCCATTTCCACATTTTTGCACGCAGTTAAACTTTTTTCAGTGTAATTCAGGAAAACTGTGCTCTCTTCACTTCCTTCTGATAATTTAAGTTTCTTTCTGCTTTTTAAGCAACTGTTCAGCTATTTTTTTGTTGTTGTTGCTAATTTTAGCTTTTTTTAAGATAATTTCCACTATTTTGTGCTCATTTCTGCTTCTTTCAGCAAACGTGTCCTTTCTGTTTTCTTCAGCTAACTTAGACTTGTTCTTCCACTTCAGCTACAATTCAGAATGTTTTTAGCTTATTTCAGCTGTTTTTCAGCAATAAGCATTCACACTGCATTTTCACAGGAAATGCAATTTCTCTACGTTTGTTCTCTGTCACTGCAGTCCAGGTTATGAATAGTTCTGATTAACCCGCAAATCCACAGAGCCATGAACACCAAGTCATAGCCAGAGCTAAACCCCAGTAATCAGCATGGCTTCAAGTGGATGGCATTATGGTTCATTATGCTGGGAACATTCATTACTCTGAGAAAACGACGTGATTTGGAGCATTTGTTTTGGGGTTTGAGGCTGGAAACTGACATGAGATCAGCTGAGTCATGCGTGTTACATAACCTGCACGGATGTGACCATAGGACCACCCTTAACATTAGAATAAAACATTTCAGCCAAACTCAATCTCTCCTCTGTGATTTTTGCCTTCCACTGACTGCAGCAGTGAAACGTGAGATGAGGAAGAGTGAGTCAGAACTCCTCAGAGACCAGGTCAGGTCCAAAACAAACTCTTCCAAATCATAAAAAAGCCTTCCCACGTCTAATGGTATCTAATGGTGAATGGAAAACAGTGACACGTTCTCCGTGGCTGGGATTATTCAGCCTGCAGCTGTTGTGCTGAGATTATTCTGTTGATTTTGGTGTTTCTTTATGTCCTACCGGGTCATGTGGCAGGGCTCACACACCCAGCCTCGCTCCTTTTTATTGTAGCGGCAGCAGGACTGGCAGACGTGAAGCCGACAGTCCAAACACTGACGTTTGATGCTGACCAGGAACTTAAACGGCTGCAAACAGCGGATGCAGTAAAACTCAGTCAGGCTGGTTTGGTTCCCCAGCAGCTCTCTCTTGGTGTCTTCTCTCTCAATCTTGGTTTTCAGCTCCCTGGAAAAAAACAAAAAAAAAAACAAGAAGTTTCATAAGAGCCAAGTCAAACTACAAACAGATCATCCTCCTTTAGATTCTCTCATTTCGTAGTGACGTTTAGCTTGTTTTCTCCAGACGGTTCTTAAAACTTATTCAAACCGTGCAGTTTCTATTAATGTGCAAAGAGAGACCAGATGTGGACCAGTTTGGGAACACTTTAACGCTGAGGCAGCAATGGATGAGACAAAACCCAGCTGTTCGGTGTTACAGTTGTAAAGAACTGTGTTCTCGTTGAAGAAAACGGACTAGACGGCTGCAATTTAGAGACTATTGGAAGCAACGAGTGGATATTCATGTGTGAGATTCTTCTGTGACTGACTGAGGACTTATTTAGACTGGTTTTCACCTCCAGTCCTAATTAAGTTGGGTATGTAATGTAATGTAGGTGTGGTTGTTCCGTCTGAAGTCCACGACCATCTCCTCCATCTTCTTCACATTGATGTGAAGGTTGTTCTTCCTGCACCAGCTGTCCAGGTGTTCCACCTCCTGCCTGCAGCTGGACTCATCGTTGTTTGTGATGCATCTCACCACCGATGCATCGTCTGCAAACTTTACAATGTGACAGCCTGAATGGGTCGGTGCGCAGTCATACATGAGCAGAGTGAACAGGAGGGGGCTCAACACACAGCCCTGAGGGGAGCCAGTGCTGAGGGTTATGGTGGAGGAGGAGAAGTTGTGGATCCTCACAGACTGCGGTCTGTTGGTTAAGTCTAGGACCCAGAGACTTTTAGAGTAAAACTATTTCAGAATAAAGTTCCTGAATGAAAAACTTTAATCTCCATCATCTCCAGTTCATAATCTGACCAACAGATTAGATTATCACAGTTAACGTCTGTCCTGAAAAATAAAAACTCTTTCTTACAAAAAAAAGGGGTTAATCTCAGCTGGATGAGTAATTTTCCCCTTTGCACCCAGTATTTATGCTAAGCTAGGCTAACCGTAGCCGACGCGGCTCCCAAGTAAAACAAATAAGCCCATTTCCTCAAGTTGGGCAACAAGTGTCGGTTTAGTTGCTCAGAAACACGTCTGACAGTAAAGGTGTAACTCGCTCGTTCTGTTTTTACGGAGTTAAAAACAAACTGAATCACTGGAGATGAGTGGACGGAGGGAAGGAGCCTCGTTACAGAAGAGCAAGTAAAATCCTGAAGCTGCTGCCGGAAAAACATCTGGTGCTGCAGAAAAAGCATGCAAGATAAAATGAGGGGTTCACGTGCAGCTTTCCTTCCTGTCGCCTCTCCAAAGGTATAAAAAAAGGGATAATTCAGCTATTTGGATGCTAAGCTAGGCTAATCTTACGTACTGACTGGCCTTTGAACCAAATCAGCACGAAATATCAAAAATTGATTAATATCTGAAACACTGAGTTATAAAAAAACACTTAAATACATCGATCAGTTTATTTGATTGTTTTTGATCCATCTTCTGCTCTTGGGTTAAAACGACCCACGAGGCTTCAGTTTTAAAACTCAGGTTAACTCACCCCAGTCTATCCTCCTCCTTCCTCCTGAGGTGGAAGTCTCTCTGGACGACGTCCCACACGTGTTTGGCCTCCTCGTCCGTCAGCTCGGACAGGTCCAGCTTCCGACCAGCGGTGCTGCCCAGCATCCTGACGTGGGTGTTCGATGGGTTCCTGTCGCTGGTACACAAGAAGAAAACAAAAAATATTAACAAAGTCTTTCTCTGGTGGGAAACTGCAACGAAGCCAAGATTCAACTTGTCTGCTGGATTCCTTAGATTGAGAACTTTACTAACTGGCTTTTATGTGAATGTTCCTGTAAAGTACCCTGAGACAACTTAGTTGTGATTTGGCGCTTTATAAATAAACTGAATTGAATTGAATTGGTCAATTGGTGACTCGTTAAACAGGTAAAAAATATGTCAACTGTAATTAAAGTTACATTTTTTAAAAATATATTCTGGTGTAATTTGTTGATCATGTATTAAACTGTTTTAGGTGCAAATCTGTAAAGGTGCACCTGGATCCACCTGAGTGACCAACTGAAACAAAAGGTACAGGAAGGAACAAAACATAGATTTTGTTGCTCCAGTTGTTCCTTAGAAAGATTCAGCAAAGGTACATTTCTGGAGCTTTTGAAGGTACATTTTTTGTACGAAGGATATTTTATGTACTTTAAGCCAGTATCTGACTTTACAACTATTGGAGACCAGTTAGTTAACAGAACTGATGAGGGAGTCTCAAAAAGGTCCAAACCATTGATGCCCAATCCTGATCCTTGAGGGCCACCATCCTGCACATTTTAGTTTTCCCCCTGCTCTTCATCAGGTCCTCAAGTTCTGCAGAAGCCTTTAAATTACTCATTTAATCACATTAGGTGTGTCAAATGTCTAAATCATGCAGGACACAATCATGCAGGCACTTGAGGACCCTCCCCCAGGACCAAAGTTCAGGGTGGTTCTCAGTTTCCTCATATGAGTCTTGCCACTTGAGTTCTGAACTTGTGCAGCCAATTTTTTGTTTTTCAAACAGTTTTGGAGGGCGTCTCAAACCCTTCACAAAACAAGGCCCGAGGCTGTAGCCCCCAAATGTCCAGGTCTAACCTAGGCCTGTCACGATAACAAATTTTGCTGGGCAATTGTTTCAGAAATTATTGCGATAAATGATAATGTTAATAATTATTGTCAAATTTAAGAGGAAATGTTGGTTATATTGTTTTGTGTGTAGTACCTTTTTTTGACCACCAGATGGCAGTATAAGACAGTTTGAGCCGAAGGATGGATAGTGAGGGAGCGAGCAGCGTGTCTCTTTAAGGAAAAATGGGAGGGAGGCCCCTTGACGTGACATGGGCTGTATCACCTTCCTTTTTTCAGTACTCAAAATGGTGGACACCCGGTGTGGTTTGAGCTCTTTAGCATAGCATTTTTCACAAAAAGCTTTTCATTTAAAAAAAAATCAATAAACAAGTTCTCAGCTTCTTTTTGCAGAGGAAAAACAACTTTTTAGACGAAGGCACGGGTTTCAACTGTGAATTTTGGAGCTTTGACTAGACTGAGGTCTTTTCCCTGAGTTCGGCCTTTTAGCTTAGCTTGTAGCTTAGCTTCTCAGCTTAGCTGCTTTTAATGATCCAAAAATGCGACTTTGGACGATTAAAACAGATTTTAAAGAGAAAGGGAGGGGTCAGTGAAGAGCACCGGAGTTGAGCTTCTTGTCATCCAGTGTCTTCAGTAGAAAGAGAGAGAAACGATAAAGCTGATAAATGAAAATGAGGTTGATAATTTTAATTTATCGTGCGATATATTGATTTATTGTTTATCGCGGCAGGCCTAGTCTAACCCCCATCCATCCACTTGCTGCAGCTGGTCTGAAGTCTGGTACAGGAGAGAAACCTGGCCCTGGTGGGGGTTTCTGGGTATCAGTTCTCCTGTTTCTCTTCCTTGTGTTCTGCTCCTGTCACACTTGTCTTCGTGTCTAATCACCCCAGGTGTTTGTCATCATGTCTCCTCGGTGTCTCTATTTATTCAGCATCCTTGTGTCATTTGTCTGTAGATTGTTCTGTTGAGGTTGTGACGTCCTGTCTCCCTCCGTGTTCCCTCCTTAAAAGTAAGTTTGCTGCCCCGCCAGCGTTTTGTTTTATGTAAAATAAACTGAAAGTATTTACTGTTACCTTGGCTGTTGCCTTCCTGCGCGTGGGCTCAAACAATTAAAGCAGAACTTGATAAAGCTCCTTCTCCAAGGTGGTGGTGGTGCTCCTCGCCTTATTCCTAAAGCCGAGCCTGCTCTCCCCACAGAGAGGTCTAACACCACCAATGATAAATAACTATTACATAATTGGTCCAAAGCCAGCTGTCTTCATTTTAAAAGTTCACGCTGGTACGATGTGGGCAAAGATTTAAAATAATTAAAAAGTGCACGGCCACAATTCAGCTTTGCACAAAAAAAGAGACGTGATTTGTAAAATTGGTGAGTTCAGGGAAACTGAGTGAAAATGTGTTTTCTCACAGTTTTGAGTTTCCAACCGTTGAAGGTCGGTGATAATCCACCTTCAGGGTTCAAAGGAGCAGCTTAAGAACCAGATTACTGCATCAAAATGATGAGTTTGATGGTTGAAGTTGTGTGTTGCTTTATGTTTTCTTCTACATCAACCTCGTGTGATCATTAAATATGTGCGCATGCTTCAGATCACACAAACTGCTCTGTTGTACCAGCAGGTTCTTGCATCACAAACTCATTTAACTCTCGGTTATTTCTGTGGATCACATGCTTGTTTTTATTTTTTTAAATATGTTTACTCATGATGTCATACAGAGACAAACAACCAACATGTTGAAATGTTTGACTTTCGCACTCATAATTTGTTTTTAATGATTTTAACACTTTTAACGTGTTCTTATTTGTATTTCCTCCAATAGAAAGTGCCCCTGGACCTGCCATTCTGTGTCCGTTTCTACTTCCTGTCCTCTCAAACCAGCCGGTCGAAGCAGATAACCGCTCGTCCTGAGCCTGGTTCTGCTGGAGGTTTATTCCTGTTAAAAGGGAGGTTTTCCTTCCCACTGTTGCCTTTGTGCTTGCTCAGGATGGGAGACTGATGAAGTGAAGATCCAACTCAATCGGGCCAATCCAAGGACACCGTCCTGCGTACTTTTGGTCCTTTTTCCACGGGCTTGACCCGGTGTGTCTTCAGTCTTTCCATTGGGTGACTCCTCCCACTTCCTGCTCTCTTCTGAGGACCTGCCGGGTCGAGGTTCCAAGCGAGCCGAGCCAGATTCATTCATTCAACCTTTATTTAAAATCACATTGAGCCTCAAAGACTCATTTAGAAGTGAGAGCTGCTTGGACAGACAATAAAGTGATTAAAGTGACAACATGGGTTTTGGAGGCAAACAAATTCCTAACATGCTCTTAATCTTTGGATTGAAGGTTTGATGTTGGCCTGTTGCCATGTTGTGTTTGCTCGGACAGACAATAAATTCATCGATGTTTCAGGCGGCCGCGCTGACCCGCATCGAGTGGTTTTTCAAGTTGTATCCAAAAACACCGAGATCGTGCAGACCCGAGTCGAGCCGAAGCGAGTCGTGGTGAGACGGAACGATTTAAAAACAGCTAAACTGACGGTCGGATCCTTCAGGAGTCTCTGGAAGAGAACAGAACTCATAGTTTCATCAGTTCGTAAGTCAGCAAAGCAGCCCCAGACCATCACACCACCACCTCCGTGTTTGACTGTGGGTACAGAGACGAGCCTTTGTGTTTTAGATGCTTCTCTGCTTCAGCGCACCTGATCTGAATCAACGATTGACTATCATGATGACAGTGTAACCACTGAAACTGGAGACGTCCAAAACGTGCAGGATCGGGGCCCTCGAGGACAAGGAATGGGCACCACTGGTCTGGACTAATATTCGTGCGGGCCAGAAACTGGATTATCCTCGTGGTTCTGTCCTGTGATCTCCACGGGTTCGACCTTCACACTGCTGGAGGATTTTAATCAAGTCTAATCAAATGATTCACATGGTCCGGTCCAGAACACCCCTCTCAGGACGGAGGGTTCAGGATCGTCTCGTTTCACACGGGCCAGCGTTTAAGAACTCTGATCAAATTCCTGCTCCTGAACCTGAGCCCCGAGGGTGAAAACGAGCAACAAACCCAACGTCCTGCCGAGTAACGAGTTCACGTCGTTCCAGGTAAAGTGTCACACCTTTAGCCCCGAGGAGAGCAAACAGACGCTCCAGGTGTTTGTTCAACGGGCGGCAGCAACTTTAGCTCTCTGCTCTGAACGTTGTCTCTCACTCTTTCTGCAGTAAAGTGATGACAGCGTGGTCTGTGCTTTTTAAAATGTGTGAAGTCAAAAAACGCATTTGCAGGATTCTCATGTTTGTGAAAAGAAAAGTTTCACCCTGATCTGGTGTCAACAAACTAGAACCTGAAAAAAATACATGCAAGCATGAATTTTACTCCAATAAAACCACATTTTAGATGCTTTCTGCATTTTAAAACAAACTGCATTTGCTTCAGACTAACTCTGCACACGAATTAGACCAGCAGAGAAACGGGAGTCGCTCTCATCCAAGCATCACCTCCAGGATAAAAACACGTTTCAGTAAAATATCAGAGACTTACGCTGAGCAGCCCGCAGGCAGTGTTTCCTCTGAAGGCAGACCGGCTGACTGCAGGACAGAAACACTGATCACATGTCGAGTTAACCAGGAGGAAGAACAACTGCCTCCTCCTCCTCGCCTCCAAAAGGTCGGTCCAGCTGACCTCCTGCACAGAATCATGAAGCTGAAAGTTCAGGAAAGTGTCTGAATAAATAAAGTTGGTGCTTAAGCAGTTCGGCTGTTCTCTGACTCAGAGGACAAGAACATGTTAGGATTAAGTCTTCAGTCACACGATCCTTTAAATGACAAGTGAAGCTTCAAACTGCTGCGTTTTATTTAAAAATCCTGCTGCCGGCAGTCTCAGCATCAGGTCTGTTAAAGCCCTCGTGTGTTTACAGGATCTGTAACTGCAGGATCTACAAAAACAAAGTGAATTAAAATAAATGTTAAAAAAAATGCATTAAAAAGCAGAGAAATTACATTTACTGTGAAAATGCTTGTTGCTGAAAGCTGCTGCAGAAGTTGAAACTATGCAGGCTGGAAAGATTTCATCACTAAACTGTTGAATTTGAACAGCTGACATTTGCTGAAAGCAGGAAAATAAAAGCAGAAAGCAGCAGTAAAAACAGCTGAAATGTGTAAAAAAAAAAAGGCTGAATAGAAGAGAATAAGCAAATATAGGCAAACATCTAATTTTTAATCTGACATTAGCACAAAAAAAAACAAATAAAAGAAGTTGAAAATAGCAGGGGAAAAAAATCAAATTAACAAAAAATGACCGAAAAAGCAGAAAAAAGCTGAAAGGAGCATAAAAGGCTTAAATGAGAAGAAATAAGCTGAAAAAAGAACAAAACAGCTGAAATAAGCAGTAAAAGTTTTGGATAGAACTAAGGCTTTGAAGGATGTGAAGATGTTCAATGAGGAAAACATGGCTGACAAAGCTAAATATTTCAAAAAGTAAAACTTGCACAAATACCAGACGTCACAGCAGAAATGTCCTGAACAAGCCGAACCTTTTGATACGCGAATTGTTGAAACAAAAACAAGTTACGTGATGAAAAACGTAAGAAATACAGATCAATAAAAAAAGAAATTGCATTTCCGGCAAAAGTGTGAATGCTTGATGCAGAAGAATTTGCTGAAAAACAGCTAAAATTAGCTAAAACCAAACATGCTGAAATGAAAGAACAAGTCTGAGTTAGCAGAAAAAAGCAGAAATAACAAATATTTGCTGAATTAGGTTTAAATAAACAAAAATGAGCACAAGAATTAGGAAATTAATAAAAATAAGCTGAAAAGTAGCTGAAAAAGCAGAAAAACACAAACTACCAGAAGGAAGTGGGAAAAGATGAAATGAGCTGAAATAAATTCTAAATAGTAGCTGAAATAGCAGAAAAAGTGGAAACTAGCAGAAAAAAGCTGAAGAGCATAACAAGCTGATTAAGAAAATTAGGCAGAAAGTAGCAGAAATTACCATGAAAAACTAGAATTTATCTGAAAACAGCTAAAATTAGCTAGAAAGGTAGAACAAGCTTAAATTAGAAGAAGAATGAAGAATATGTTTGCCCAATTAGGCTGAAAGTAGCAAAAGCGAGCACCAAAACGTGGAAATTATCTGAAAAAAGATAAAATTAGCAAAAAACAGCAACCAAAAACCCCCCAGCTGAAAAGTAGTTAAAAAAGGCTAAAAGAAGCTTAAAATACCAGAAAGAAGTGGAGAGAGCACTTTTTTTTTTGCTGAATTAGACTGAAAAAAGTTTAAATGAGTGCAAAAAATGTGAAATGAACTGAAAATTCTAAAATTAGCATTAAAACAGCTAAATAGCTGAAATAGCAGGAAAGGCTGAAACTTGCAGAAATCAGCTAAAAGGAGCTTAACAAGCTGAAATTAGCTGAACGTAGCTGGACAAAATGTTAAAATTTGCACAAGGAAGCTAAAAGAAGCTGAAGCAGAACAAAATGTGAAGGAGTAAAAGGTTGTAAACAGATCTAAAGATTTGAAGGATGTAAAAATGGCAGAAAGGGATAAATATTTCAAAAAGCTAAAGTTGCACCAATACCAAAATTCATAGCAGGATTGAAAGAGCCGAACGTTCTGATTTATGCTTTGTTGAAATAACTTCAAATCTGCAGAACAAGAATCACACCGACTAACGTAGAGTAGAAAAATGGATCACAATAGAGCGGATGCTTGATGAACGTGACAGGCTGACAATTATTCAGAAACATTCCGTCAATAATAAGTTTTTATCACATGCAGTTTGAGTCTGTGCGTTCGTCTCAGAAAGTAATCACTAGATGTACAAATGACAAACGTTTGGGGGTCAAGCTGATTCAAGATGGCCGCCATGGTTAACACAGTCATGGCTACAAGTCAGTTTTACAGATGTTGAGCGAAAACCTAAAAACATACTCGGACACGCTGCGAGATACTTCCGTTTGAAACATAAAAGAACATTTCCTGAACTGGGATGACCCGACGGAGAATTATTGGATTTGGTACATGGATGAGTGAGCATGAACTTTGTTGCATTTCCTGAACTACTGGAGCTCGGACCTGAATCAGGAAGCTGAAGCTGGAACGGGACTGACCCCACCCCTTTCACTTCCTGGGTTCTGGATGCGAAACTTTAGCTTCTCCTGAAAGCTGCCAGCTAAACGTCCAAACGACTTCCAATGGGCGCCACGCGGTCCAACTTTAACTAATGTTGATTTGTTTGTCTCCTTCTGCTTTTAAAAACAACAGTCTGCTTCATTTCCCTCTGACAGAAAACTTGATTCAAACCATGTGACCCATACAACGGTCCAACTTTCAATCTCAAAGACCCTCGCTGTTTACATAACACAAACAGAACCTCTGAAAGAGTTTGTCTTTTTTTAAGATGGATGTCGCTTTATTACTTTCATATGAACGAATCTATACACACACTGCCCACAGAACACATCCAGACTGCTGGTTTAATTTATTAAAGATGGAGTTAATCAGTAAAGAAAAACGAAACGGGGAGAGGAAAAGAGTAAAATGTCAAACCGCCCAGCCACTGGAAGAACACAAAGAACGAGTTGTTAAAAACTAAACTGATGAAAGTAAAGAGCTCCGAGTGTGGTCCAGTTGTGTCATGGTTGGTTCACGTGTTCAGAGTACAGAGGGTTAAACAGATAATAGAAAATGTTTTATTGTGAAAGGGTAGGACTGATCTGCAGAGAGGACCAGGAAGTCGTCTCTGAGTAAACGACTTGATGTAGATATTGATACTGGCGGGATGTTCTAACGTTCTGTCATTTTTTGAAGATCCAGAGGGGAAAGTAGCCAGGAGGTGGTGGAGACTTCTACTGTTCAGGTGATCCAACTGGAGGCATGGAGGGTTACTGGTCAGAGTGTGGTAACAGGAACCAAGCACTGGATTTATCCGGAGTCCCTCGAGGAGTTTTCTTTGAGATTACAGGAAAGCAAACACATTAGTACATTAAAGACGGAAGAGTAGCGTAGAGGTTGTATCCTAAAGTCCCTGAGGAACTTCTTTCAACGGTTCAACGAGGAATCATCGAGCAGCTCAGCCTCAAATATGGTAGAAGGTAATCAGCTGGGACAGCTAACAACTGTCGACTCCTGGGAACAATGTGATTAAAGCAACGCTTCTCAAACCTTTTTGTCACTCCTTCCCCATTAGAGAAATAAAATTGTCCATGGCCCCAGGAACTCAAAACCATTCATAAGAATGAGCGAAATACTCTTGTATGAAACCTTTAAAATCTAATCCCTTTGAGTGAAATAGTCATTTTTTTGGCAGAAGATGTTCAGTCTGACAAATAAAAATGTATTTTTAAGTTGTTTTGACACCCTGTGTGAATTTTTTTTTTTTTAATATCACCCTTTCAACAGTTTGACAAAGAATCATTGAGCAGCTCAGCCTCAAATATGGTGGAAGGTAATCAGCTGGACATCGCCTGGGAACAAGGTGATTAGAGGACCAAAAACACAGCCAGGAAACAGGAATGCTGACAAGTTAAGTGACTGTGAATCATTAACGCAGGAGCAGAACCTGTGGAGGAACCCGATCATCTGGAGAACAGAACCCGGTGCCAGCTGTGAGTTCAGATCAACTGGAGATGTTATCGTCCACTTCTAGGCAGCCTGGGATTATACATAACAGAAACAAAATGGCTTCCACAGCTTTTGCGTATGATGTAGAATATAAATGTTCAGAGTTTACACAAAATGTTGGAAATTAAATTAAATGTAGCAAATTATTTACAATCAGACCACTAAAGTCTTAAACTTCCATATAAATGTTATGAGATGCAAAGAAACAAAGATACAGAAATATATAAAATTAGATTTTAGTTATTAAAACCGTTAAGTGTTCTGTTTATAATTTACCTTGCTGAGTAACAGATGTGACTCATTCTGTCAAAATAAATGACAATCAGAAACGTTTATATTTGAAGTTCATATTTTCAAATTCTCCATCTCCGAAGTTTCACAACGATCCAGAGTTTGTTGAAATTTGGTGATTTTTCACCTGGCAACAAGATTAGTTTTGTTCACAATAGCGCCTGTTGGAAAGTGAGTACCGGTATTTGTTGGTCTGGAGCGGCGCTATCAGGGTTTACAACCCATATTTACAAAGACTCACCCATCCATCCATTGTCTTTTACCCACTTCTTCCATTTTGGGTCATGGGGGTCGCTGGTGTCCATGTCCAACAATCATTGTGCGAGGGGCGGGGTACACCCTGGACAGGTCTCCAGTCCATCACAGGGACACATAGAGACAAACGAGACAAACAACCATTCACTCTCCCACTCACACCTAGAGACAATTTAGAGTTACCAATCAGTCGAACATGCATGTTTTTGGTCTGTGGGAGGAAACCGGAGTACTCGGAGAAAACCCACGCATGCACGGAGAGAACATGCAAACTCCACCTAAATTGCCCCCGGACCAGGATTTGAACCGGGGACCTGCTCGCTGAGAGGCAGCAGCTCTACCAGTTATGCCACCGTGCTGCCTGGACCAAACATCCATATTTTCTTATTTAATTAATTAATTAATTTATTTATTTTGCGTGGCTGAC